CCACCATGGATAGAGGAACATGATTTGGTACAAATGTTGAAGTAGCTCTAATCATTCCTATATTCTCACTTCTTGCCATTTTTATTGATCCTTGTGGTAGTAAGCTAAGTTGATGCATCGCAAGTATTAATTCCCTCAATTGTTCTTGGATTTGTGCCATTGCACTCTTCATTTCAACAAGGTGCACCATAATAATACTTAAAAAAATATCTAATACCGCTCAAGATAAGTAGAAGAAATGACTTGAGGACAAAAAAAATACTAAGGACAATATCAATTTAGAAGAGGGTAATCCGTAACTTCTAATAGGCTTATGTCTTATCATGAGAAAGGAGTAATCCAATCTTAATAAAAAAATAGACAAAACCCTGATATTGTAACTATACTCTTGCCAATCTATCAAGGATATGAATTAGAATATGATGCATAAATCAATGAATTATGTGTTAAAGAGAGAGTGACAAAATAGAAATAAAGAAGCACATATATTAAAAAGAAACTAGAATGGCTTATTGTCAAAAGATAAGAAAACTTGAGATTCTTGAAACTAAACTAAAAGAAAAAAAGAAGTTGACAAGAGTGAAGAGGGCTTTACTCTTGCTTCTATATATACTATCTAAGTAGGAGCTACATGGCAATATTCTATAGGACTTCTAATATGTGTTGACTTTTCAAGATACATGCCTTAGCTTACAATGCAAGTTTTTTACGTGTAGGCGACATAATCAACTTGTTCTTTAAGCTATCAATATTTGTGGTACATGTTTAACTTGTTGACAAAATTTTTAATCTAAAAATCAATAATGGACACCTATAAAGCCAAAGTAGCATCTATGAAGCTTATGAGAAGCTATTTTAGAAGATATTATAGAATTAACTTACTTTTACCTACTTCTATTTACTTCTACCTATTTATATAAGTAATTATTAACTTATATGTGTATGTTCGTGACAATAAGAGGCCACCTAATATCCAATTGGATTATATTGTATTTCTCTCAATTGGTAAGTGTGATTGATTTCATCTTTCTTGTGCTTATTTTTAACTAAGATATTAAGAAGTGTGCATATTTTGAGTTGATATCAATAGCTTGATTATTAGTTATTGAGGTTCTATTTTGCTATAGGATTTGTTAAGAACTTATTTAAGATCTAAGATTTGATTAGAATTTGATTTAAAAACTTGTCTAGGATATGTCTAGGATGTAGGGATTCATTAAAGTTATATTAGGATTTGACCTTGAATTTGTTTAAGATTTAATTAATATTTTTATTTTTAATATTTCTAAAAGATTATTTGTCTTTTTTTTGGGACTTTTAAATTTTGATTACATTATTAGGGATTACTTGAAGTTTATTTAAGGCTCTATTAGACTTAATAGAATTTTTATTGCATTGTTACTTACCTTCTACAACTAGATGCCCATTGCATTTTTAAGCAAGAATATACATAATATGGCATTGCTAATAAGATAGAGAATCAATAACCATCATATTTATCTAAAAAACTATTATTTTTTGAGTTATTAAATAAGCCATTGTAATTGTCACAACCTTCAAGATAATGTTGTTATATTATAAATGCTTATAACATGTGAAAATTTTTTAAAACATATTATATGTAAATAAATCTAGATGTGTATTAGAGTAGTTAGTATATTAAATTAAAAGGAGTTGGTATAAGAAACTTTACTTTGTTTTTTTTATTTGTTTTGATTTTGGCATTAAAAAAAATATAGGACCTAAATGTTTAGTATGAAGCCTTGAGAGAAGGTGGAAGCCTAAAGATGAAAATCTAAACTAATAGGAGGCTAATTGAAAGGAATGAAAGTAAGACATGGTCAGATGAAGGCAAGGCATAGAGAACTTCATTTGTATTGGTCAAATACTATGTCCAATGGACTTTAATGAGGTTGCCCGTGACTTAACAAGGATTTTGGCAACTTCCAAGAAGATATTTCGAAATTAGAAGCAAGGATTAAAAATTTTAGGATTTAGGTTATAATTTGTGTACAAAAATTAGAGGATTTGGAATTAGAATGAAGAAGTTATAGCCATTTGAAGTTAAGGTGTTAATTTAAGACATACTATTATTCTTTTGAGTATATAAGGAGTTATATAGTAGCTTTTGAAGATCGAAAGATGTTGCTAGAATGGAAATTTTAAGTTCTACATTTTTTATGAAGGATTTATTGCTTTTAGAGTTTATATGAAGGAGTTATAGGGAGTTGAAGGCGGCACTTTCAAATCAAAGGCAATAAGTAAATGGTTTCATTTATAGTAATGGTTGGAGCCAAAACTTGAGTTTTCAGACAAATTTTTGGATCAAATTTTTTGAAGAATGTAATATTTTGTGTTAAAAAGCTATACATACAAATTTCGTGGTATTTAAACTTATATTTTGTGAGATATGAAGAAAATTACATGTAGGTGTATAAAGTCAAGGGTTTAAAGCAATTATTAGGATTTTCAAGATATCTCAAGATCCGTAATAAATTTGTAGTTGAAATTTATTGTAAAAGTTAATAAGAATATATTAGTATCTCATGTAAAATTTGAATATGTTTGAATAGTTTGATTGGAAGATATGAGTTGTTGAAGTTTGGGAAATAATATCCCATAAGGATATATAAGGATTTAGAATTTTATCATATTTTGGGTATTTTTGGGAACTTAAGACTTATATATTTAGTATAATTGCTCCTAAAAAGTGTTATATATATATAAACTTGATTTTTCTTATATTAAGACTTGATTGAAAAATTAGTGGTAGCCAGGAGCCTAATACTTTCTTGAGGCAAACTCTCTCTATCCTAATAACTTAATGAAAATCAAGATCTTCAAAAATAATATGTTTTTTTTTTAATAGATGGCAAGCTATAATGCTTTTGGTATCACAACCTTGGAAGGGACTCCCAATATTTGGTGATTTTATTGGATGTATGAATATCTTTTAATGGTGTTATAAATATTTTGTCTAGATGAAGTTAATAGGTCCATTAAGCCATCAATAGTGTCCTATACTAAGATGTGAAGAATCCTTCAAAAAGAACAAAGATCAAAATATATGGCAAATATAATTTGATATATCTTAGATTTTTTTAACATGTGATTGTTACTTTTTGTAGAATTCATCTCTAAAAAAGAAAGTAATGCTACAAACATACATATTTATTATAATAATTACTTAAATAAATAAAAAGATAGAAATAAGTAAAGTAGATAAATTTAATAATATTTTTTAGAAAAGCTTTTTAGAAGCATTGTAGATATAGCTTTGATTTTATATATATTTATAGTTGATTGATATGTTAGAAACTCAATCAAAAACTTAGCCATGAATTGTATGTGTTGGTAGCTTAAGGTACAAGCTAACCATGTGGCACACATACAAAAAACTTCTTTTATAAGTTACACACATGTCATATAAGTTGAACATGTATTGGAGGTTCTATAGAGCATCATCATATAGCTCTTAGTAAGATAAGATATATAGAAGCAAGAGTGAGGCCTTCATCATTCTTCTCAATTCTTTTCTTGCTTTTAGTTTAGTTTCAAGGATCTTTAGTTTTTTTTGAATTTTGGCAATAATCATTCTAATTTCTTTCAAGTATATATATTTATTTTTTTATATTTATTTTTATATTTTTTCTAAATTTATATTATATCTAATATTTAATATTTTAGAATTTAATTTTTTAATTCCAAAAATATTAAAAAAACCAAATCAAATACAAAAAAAAAAAAAAAAAAAAAAAAAAAAAAAACTTCTATAATAGAACCAATTATATCTTTGTGAGTCACTTGAATAACTTTTAAGTCTTTGAAAAGGTTATGATTAGTTATAAACAATCTAACTATAACCAGTTATTTAAACTTTGGGTAATATTTCATGATACAAAATTTCTACTTTAAGAACAATGAAGTTAAGGATAGAATTCCACCACATCTTATTAAAAACTTTGGATCTAAGAATAGATTTCTTATAAAAATTGAGAATGTAGACTTTATGAAATTTTTATCTCTTAAATTTTATAATAATTAATATCTTTATTAAAATATTTTTCAAAGAATTCTTCAATTGTAATAATTTTCATTGGAATAAATTAATAACTTTTGAATCAATGCATAGAAATGCTAAGATAAAAATAAATCATATAAATTAGATTAATTTAAGATATTTAAAAAAAAAATCAGTATCAACAAAAGATTAATAAATTTTGATATGATTTGACTTGTGTATATTACAATTATTAATTTATCAACAAACAATCTTATTGGACCTATATTTTATATTATTTTTGCAGAGGGGCTACATATAGATATAAGAATCTCTTTAGCAACGTCCTTATAAAATTTATGAAACTCCTAATTTATATTTATCAAATAATAATAATAATAATAATAATTAATATAGTCATATATACTTTGTTGCAATGAGAAAACCACAAGAAGTCAATTACACTCACATATTTTTTGTTGTACTAAACAAACTACATAAAACATTATACAACTATATAAACTTTGTCACAATAAACAAAATTACAAGAAGAAAATAAATAGCAATGTTGATACAAGTGATGTTTACTTCTATTGTTCTATTTAAATTTTTACACCAAATTGACAAGTATTGATACCTTTAATAGAATTAAACTATAAACATAGATGCCTCTACATCTCTTGCAACTTATTCAATAGATTCCTTTCTATTGCTAAACAAATAGCTTTAACTTGTCATATGACATTATCATACATTTTATTCCCATCGAGCTTGATTGGCTCCAAAGGCTTTTCTCACAACATATATCTCCAGGGCTTGTTTTTTTTTGCTCTAATGCTCCTAATAAGAATAACGTAAACAAATTATGTGGCCCCAAACCAGGATGTTCCAACTCAGCAAGGGTTAGATGGATGAGTCAGAGACTCGACGATTTTCATCCTTTCAAACGCATTCACCCCGCACTGGACGAGACCGAACTAATCTGACGGCGCGCTTCCCAAGGGCCAACTCTGGCATCAAAATCAGTCCTTCACCAACACCAGCACCGCGTCGTCGCCTCGAGCGTCTGAATGCTCCTTCCCCTTGGCCGAATTGCTGGCAGTGCGTCGCCAAACACCCGCACTTGGAGCATTAGGGTTCTGCGTCGCAAATCAATCTGAGAAGCTGAAGGGAAAGGAAGAGAGGCAGCGAGCGAGGTAGCGAAGGAGGGCATCGACATGGAATCCAGCGGGCATGGCCAGGGAGGAGGAGGGCAGGGGCAGCACGACGGTGCCGATGCCAGTTCGCAGAAGACCGCTGACCTCACAGCCTTCGTGCAGAACTTGTTGCTCCAGATGCAGACTCGCTTCCAGACCATGTCCGAGTCCATCATTACCAAGATCGACGAGATGGGATCGCGCATCGACGAGTTGGAGCGGAGCATCGGTGAGCTCGTCAAGGAGACGGGCCACGCCGACGCCATCTCTGCTTCGCCGTCCCAGTCCTCTTACCAGGAGCTGCGAGGAGGGGGCTCCTCCGCAAAGTAAGTGCACTGTCTGGCCGTGAGGTCTGGATCAGAGAGACATGGAAGTCTGAGACAGGGTTTCGTGGTGATCTTTCCGTGGTGGTTGTTAACCTTGTTGAGGATGTGGTTGGCGTACGTGCGGATTTGTTTTTCTGCCGGGTTGCGCGTCCCGCTGTAATTGTAGGGTGCCTTCTGATCAGTCTGGCAATGCGGTGGTTGGTCTGGGTGGTTCTTGTGCCGATTGTTGGGGATTTGAGGCCGGAGTTTTGATTTGGGCTGCTGAGTCATTTGTTGCACTGAGATGTGGCGCGATTTGAGGACATTACGTGCGCCATTACAGGGATTCGAGGTAAAGCCCGAGAATGTCTCGACAGTTGATAAGGGAGCAAGAAACTTGTAGCTGAGCTTTCATAACGTGCGTTGTTGGAGAAGCACGGGTTTGTCGTTGCGGTCATTTGTGGCGATGATGATATGTGTAGATTACACTGCCATTACCAGAAACTGTTGGCACTGCAGATTTGGTTCATGAGCAGTGTGCCGCTGAACCTATATGCTGTTGCGAGGGATATTTTGGTAGCCGAAAGACGGGATTGACTGGAAAAGTGTTGGTGTTGCATAGGAGTTCAATTGTTACTCCACGATTATGATTCCAAATGTTGACACTATTTTATGTAAATGTACTGCAATTACAGAACGTTTTTATGTTCTAAAGCCTTGCTATTGTAAATGGACGATGTGGTCTTTCAGATGCATGTGAGAATGTTCGGCGACTTGAGGATGCGCGCGGTAGCTTTTTGCGAGACTTTTGTGAAAGGGATGGGCTGAATAGCGTTGAAGTGTGAGGTTTTCTTTGACAAGAGAGGAGGGAGGGGAAGAGAGGAGAGGGTACATGGTGAATAGCAGTCCGTTCGTGGGTATTGCCTGTGCATTGTGGTGGCCTTCGACTTGGAATGTGGGATGTAGGACATTGTGTTGAGACTTTGTTGTTCCATGCAGATGCACTAAAATGGTCATTGTTGTCAGCGGTGGTCGGGTGGATATACCTGAACCTATCAGAGAACTATTTATAGTTTGACCTGATCTGACCATGTCTTGACTGCTCGGCCAAGGTATCTTCTTCTTTTACCTCCGGCTTTGCTGTGTGCACGATCTTGAGGCGGTTCAGTGGTTGTAGACGTGAAGCGCATGCATCTGCAGAATCCACGTACGCCAGATGTGGCACATACGGAAAGGTAAAGCGGAATGAGCGACTTTGAGGAGCGGAATATGTGTTGTTTGTAGGGGACTGGTGAGCACGAGTAGAGTTGAAAATAGGGCAGAGGTTATGATTTTTGGAGGAGACATCTGGTATGCGTGTGCACAATGTTATGTGCCTCGAGGATGGGGGTGTTGATCATGGAGGTTTTCAAGGATTCGGAGGTGGCAAGGAGGAGTATCTGGGTCTGTGGTGCCGAGTATGAACGGGCGTGGAGATCTGGCTATCAGTAGAGGATTAGAGGATGTCAATGGTGAAATGACGGAGTCGAGATTGAATCAGAGGCTGGATGATGTGTTAAGCATGGAGAGTTGAGGTGTGAGATGAATAGCCCATTCAATTTGAGAGATCTGTATCGGGATGGGAGTGCACAAGAGTTGTGACTCGTGAGTCATCGTCGTGCCGAACTTTCCTTTTGCGGCCGACGGGCGATGTTGGACATTGTTTGTCTATGATTTCCATATTCATGATTCGAGTTTGTTGATGTCGCTGATTTTCACACAGAATAACGTGCTCAGCGACTCATGCTGAAGGTGCGAGAACCTTTTAATCTAACATGTTAGACATGTATTGTTATCGTCTGAGTACCCACCTGTGCACGCGACTGATCCTAATGTTTTGAATTGCACTAAACCTCATAGAATGCTTCTTTATATGGAGATAACGCCACTTGAATGAGGCCTTCCCAATTACTGCTGTATCTAGCTGTATGCAAATTGAGGAACAAGCTAGAGCTAGATTTACTTCCTATTTGACCGGCAGGATGTATGGTTCAACCCAAGATGTAGGGAACACGTTATGTTAACATGGTAGAAAGGAGTAGTAGGGAATTCTCGGGGTACAGATTAATCATGATATTTTGGCTCACTTATGCATTTGCTATTTGAATAAAACAATCTTTCACAGGTTTTGGAATGTGTACAAGTTTTTGTGCACATTGATCTTCTCAAGGGAATGGGGACCCTGCATGGCTTTTGCAAAGAAGCTAGGTGTTTTTGCTACTTAACTCTCACTGAACTCCTAAGATTCAAAAGATCTTGGGTAATACAAACTCTGTGGGAAGTATGCCTATGATTTATATGGACACAAGAAGAAAAACCGAATCCTCCAAAACGAGATGGAATGAATACCAAGGTAGGCAACTTGTTTATTTAATATAGTTGAATCTTGTGAAAAATATTTGTGAGAAATTACAAAAAACACCACATCAGATACACATATTTTTTAAAGTGCTATTGTTTCAATAGTTTGTTAATTTTTTGACTCTTAAATGTTTTGCAGCTATCTAATTTAAATTTTACTTTTTTTACTGATTAATAAAGTTTTGAATGTTATTAATATTAATATTCATATTATTTATTTATTCATTTGTGGCATTTTAGAGAGTGATATTCAAGTGTCCACAGTTCATTGTGTTGTACTTTTAGTTAGACTTTTGATTCTTCTTGAAAGTTGATTAGTTGGTCAAAACTTATTTCAATAATTGAATCTTGTAGAATTAAGTAAATGTAGAAAAAAATACCTGTCTATCCTTAACATAGATTTGTACAAAAAAAAAAAAAAAAAAAAAAAAAAGGCAATTACAATTTAGACATTGTAAAAAAATAAAAATAAAAGATTTGTTAACAAGAACAATACATCACTTGTAAATGATAATAGAAATAATGCAAAGAAAATTATAAACATAGTAAAATTTAAAGAATTTAAAAATACTCCTAAAAGAAAGAATATAAAATAAAATAAACATATGAAATATAGAATATGTAGAAAATTGACCAAATTACATATGACATTGCAATAAATGTCTAAAACACTTATAGAGGTATTAGTAAGGATAAAAATTGACTTATATTTTATGCAAAATTTGGTGAGAATATAGTTAATTATTTGTATAACTTTGATCAAAGCTTAAAACTTTGCAAGTCTATATAATGTAATAATTTCTTGCCAATATATAACTAAAAATTTGAGATATCAACTCAATATTTTGCATATGCATGAAATTATTCTAAATATTTCTAATTTTTTTAAATTAATTTTTTTATAATAATATATAATGCTAATATCAAATTAAGACTATTTTTTGCTATCTTGGTGATTTTTTAAAGAAATAATATGAATTTAAATAAAGTAAAAATTATATAAATAATTAAAAAGATATGAGATTATTTCTTATACTTCTTCTAATTAGTAACTAATATTTATATGATTATTATAAGTAATACATACAAATGAAAGATCAATATAAATATTAGTATTAATAATTAAATATTAATATTTAATGATAATTAAAAATACTAAATCAACTAAGATAATTATCTCTAAGATTTACTAAGATTTTATTTTTATAACTTTTTTTCTAATAAAATTCTAATAACTTTTAAATACTTTTAAATTCTAATAAATATTCAAATAATAAAAATATCTAATTTTAATATTTTATATTTAATTAACTTAAAACTATACTTTTAATTGTTCCACCAATTAAGATCTATTAGTGGAAGTTACAACCACTATAAAATAAACAATTGTCTATATGGAGATTTAACAAAATTGATGACTATCTAATAATTTGTCACCAATTCTAAACATCAGATTACAATACAATACAAAGTAATAATTATTATTATAATAGTTAGGCAAATATGTTCAAAACAATAATAAAAACCCTCTTGCAAAGTTGCACACCACCAATGGCAATAAGCTCAACACCATTGTCAAAAAAAAGAAGCCTCTCAAAGATGATTAGAAATCTTAGCTTCCTCGACAATATAGCTGCAATGAAATTTTTTGATTAAATTAGGTCTATGTAGTTGTTGAATATGACCAAGATGAAATGAGACTAGTCTATTTCAAGAGTCTAAGACCATACTACTCCACAGCAACATAAAAACTCATCACAAAGTAGAATAAAATCGACCAAAATAAAACTGAACAAAATTAACAAAATAGAACATTAAAGACAAAACTAAGTAAACAGAGATGGAACAGGATTGAACTGAATAAGAAGATATAAAATCAAATTTTACTAAGAAAAAAGATCCAAAGCTATATTTGACTAAATGTCCTTAAAAGCTCTAGTCAGTTCTATTTATACTTTGTTCTATTATCCTTGACTTTCTAAAATGTCCTTACATGATGGATCTTATTTAGATAACCACCTTAAATTCTTTTTAGAAGGTTCTATGGTGGACTATCATAGATATATGTATGTAAGCTAGTAATTACTTGTATAAATAGATAGAAGTAAGTAGAAATAAGTAAAAATAAGTTAATTCTATAATATCTTCTATGGAAGCTTTTTAGAAGCTTCATAGATGCGTTTTGACTTTATAGCTATTTTAAATTAATTTTTTGGATTGAAAACATAGTCAACAAGTTGGCCATGTGCCACACATGTTGTTAACTTAAAAACCAAACTAACTATGTGGCCCACATATAAAAAAACTTACCTTCTAAGTCAAGGCATGTATTTAACAAAGTCAACACATATTGGAGGTCCTATAGAACATTGCCATGTAGCCTCTAGTTAGATAGTATATATAAAGACAAGAATGAAGTTCTCTTCACTCTTGTCAATTCCTTTCTTGCTTCTAATCTAGTTTCAAGAGTCTCAAGTTTTCTTGTCTTTTGACAATAAGCCTTTCCAGTTTCTTAGTATTTTTTTTATCCTTAAGTCCTTTCTTCTACTTATTTTGAGCGGTATTAGATATATTTCTAAGTGTTATTATGGCTTAGCTTATTAAAATGAAGAGTGCAATAGCACAAATGCAAGAGCAATTGAGAGAGTTAATACTTGCGATGCATCAATTTAGCTTATCACCACAAGGATCAATAAGAATGGTAGGAAGTGAGGATATAAAGATAATTAAAGCTACTTCAATATCTACACCAAATCATGTCCCTCTATCCATAGTAGAACATCTTTCAAGTGTTAGAGAACCAAGAATTGTCCTACTCGAGAAGTTTAATGGTATAAGATCCAAATTTCAAGGATTTATCAATTAAGTACAACTTGTGATTGAACTTCAAGCTCAAAGCTATCCAATTTCAAGATCACAAGTTAGATTCATTAATACATTTCTTTCACGTTCAGCACTATTGTTGTTTTTATCTTTTTTTGAATAACAAGATCCAATATTAGATAATATGGAGGCATTTTTGGCAGAATTTTGGTCCATGTATGGAAAACATGATCCAACTTGTATTAGGGATCCATATTTTGTGACAAGACAATAGATTTGTAATATTATATGCTTCACATTTTTGACAACTTGCAACTGATATCAAGTGAGATGATGTTGCACTTATTAGCCAATTTCTCCATAGATTACAAAATTGTTACTCAACTTACTTGATCTTCAAACATTGAGTCAAGTAATTGACTTTGCTATGAAATATAACAATCAACTTTTTGAATTCCGATATGAGAGTTGCACAAATGGGCCTCAACATTATTACAATTTGATGGCAATACCAACATCTCATCAACACATACATTCAGAAGTAGAAGATATACAAATTGATGCAGTACATTTTAAACATCTTATCAAGCAAGAAAAGACTTGTCACCGTCAAGAAGGATTGTGCTTATATTGAAGAGAACTTAAGAACATTGCTCAAGATTGTCCAAAGAAGTGACAAAATCACAAAATGAGGAGCACATTTGTCAAAGAAGACAATGTGTTAAAAAACAAATTTGTCTAGCTACAATAGGGATCGTGCGGCTGGAATCTTATATAATTTCTAATAAAGGTCATCTCCTCTCCTTAGAACTCTCTCATTATTTTATAATAGATGTGTATTTAGGACCTAATAATTATAAAGCCTCCGACTTGATAGATTCAAGAACCTCAACTTGTTTCTTAGACATAGAATTTGTTAAAAGTCATAAAGAACCATTAGTACAAAAAACTAAACCTGTTTATGTAGAAGTCATAGATGGTTATCCATTGGCTTTTGGAGATGTTACTCATAAAATACTTCCTATAGATGTAGCAATAAATGGTCATAGTAGTTGCTTAATCTTTGTTAAAGTAAATAGAGGATAAATTAGAAGGTAAAAGATATTATCTTAGATAAGTTACTAATGGTCAAAGGGCAGCAAAAAGATGAAGGAAAGTTATCAAGGTGGCAGCTAGGGTTATAGGTGGCGGCTAGGTTAAGAGGATTTTAGGGTTTAGTTGGATGAAAGTAAAATGAATATTAGCCAAAATGGATGTAACCTCTACCTATAAGTAAAAGGTACTAGAAGTGAGAGGTATCTCATTCCACACTTCTCTTGTATCTAACCTTGCTGTTTTCTACTTACTTGTGTCTTGCTTATTGTATTTCTTCAATAGGTTATGGGCCCACACATACTTTGTTGTGCTATTCAAGTAAGTTGAAGTCATTTGTTGGTTGTTGTTCTTATGTGGAATAGATCTTATGGTATTTGCTGATATTAGAGATTGTATGATCTAATCTGGTGTTTTGACTTGTAGAGGTTTTGATTTCGGCCTTATAGATCTCTTACATTAGTTTGAAGGTTCTTAACTCCTAAGATTGAGTGATTAAGACCGTATAC